TAAACTGTTACGTCTTACTCTGCGATTGTTGACGTTTTAGGGCAACTGTGGAGGCGGAGCCCGCCGTCCAAATACGGCTTCTGAAAATAACTCAACCTGATGGGGTCGTATTAGAGCTATTGGATTAAGGGGATGTAGCCGGTTTACCTATTTAACCTGTCGAACTACTATCTGTAGGACTGCTTTCAAGTAACAAACACTGCGGCCTATCGGAGTGGGTCGTGCGCGATGTTAAATATCATCCTAACAGAGCCCTATAACTGAATTGTCTGCCTCATCTTCTCCAATTCAGATCGTTGTTCTACTGTCAACCAGTCGACTGTCAAGCGCCGACTCCGACTTGGTAGAACTGGTTGTGCTTAACAGCCATACTGTAGGTCACAGGCCATGACTTCTAGTAAGTATAAAGCAGAACGCGTGTCGCAGAGCGCTACGCGCATACATATCTTTTGTCAATTACGGCCGATTCCGCATCGTCCTCATCCTCAACAAGAAACAACCTTTGTTAAAAATGCGCTGGTCAATGGACGTTATTATCATACCTTATCAAGAGTGCATGTAATAGATTTCACCTAAGCATTGACTTTAGATCTTCTACTTATGCCACATCTTGATATAATTATATATACGCTCTGTTGGACTTCTGGTGGTTGAGAGAAGACGCTGGCTGCCGGTATCTATAGAAAATCTGGATGGAAGATGGGATACTTGGCGATCGCTGAGGGACGGGGGGAAAAATATAACTAGTCTCGATAGACTGAACTGCTGTCGCGGCGAGACATATATATTTAGTGTGAGGGTTAGTGTTGGCGGTGTTGGAGTGAGGGTTACCGTTAGGGTTGGCATCGTCAACGTTATCACGTGACCTCCCGCCACTGCCTTTGTTCTTACCTACTCCCGCCAGAGATATCTCGTGAAATCCTGCAAGAAATGTTCTCTCCGTGAAAATGTAGAGGACGTATTATCTGAAAATCCCTAACGGCGCTACTTTCGATCGATCACTGTAGTCGTGTCTGTGACGTCATTCCCGCGCGCATTATGCTTGGCTTGGCGAGCCTCGAAACGGAGCTCGGAGGCAGGCAGCAGCTCATCCCTGCATGCCGCCATTACTCGTGTATAAAGACGTCTCGTCCTCTTTACATTTTCACGGAGAGAACATTTACTGCAGGATTACACTAGATATCTCTGGCAGGAGTAGGTAAGAACAAAGGACAGAGTTATAATTCGAACAAGTGAACATTTAGCTACACATAGATACCAAGATGAAAGCTGTTGTTGGTGTATTTGGGCTGTGAAGATGTGAAATGAAGCGAGCGTCGAGCGAATGTTGCGATCACGCTTTCCTACCTGCTCTCTTATTCATGTTGTTTGCGCACAGGGCGTGCGTGCGGTGTACTTGTGTGTTGCAGATAAGAATTTTACCGGCATTTACGGGTAATTAGCGGCAATAATAGGCGAAATAGATTGGAGAAACGTTAAGACTTTGGTAGTAAATACGTTTTGTGTTTATTTACCTTTTTTTTATTGAGACGTTCCAAGTGCCTGTGGCCTTGGTGATACGTACTCACTCATAGGCCTACTTTGTCTATTTAGTATTGAGTATTGTATAAACGTACGGTATTGACAGAAACCTGTAATCATAGAGTTGAATGTGAACGTTAACTAATCGCTCAATGAATTAAGTACGTAAACGCTTACGATTTTAGAATGGCCTAGGCAATCGGCACCCCTTGACAGCACAGTACGGCTGACAACACTTAATATTTTTCCTTCGCAACAAAGTATTTGCCCTAATCTGTATGCCTACTTGTAGACTGGTACCCGTTTGCCACCCTCACTTCGGCAACTATCCTTCGTGTGAAACTGTCGACAGGGTCACACCAGTCTAGCCTATTTCTTCCTCATAACGCGCGCGCCATCTCTATGACAATAAAGTAACCTCACATACATAATTATGTACAATATAGTATTATTATGAAAGCTAAAAATGAATATATATATTATATAACTATGAAAGTAACATTCATTTATCAATTATGTAGCACAGATGCTGAACCACTGATCTACATCATATACTAACAATATCCTAGCGCCAAGAAACAGTTTTGCTAGGGTTAGAAGACCAAACTGTATAGACAATCAGTAGCACAGCCTCATCGGGCTACTCAAATCCCGAGAAACACACAATGGAATGGACTTAGCCAAGCAGACGTCCCACACAACCTAGCTACGGGTAGAGAAAGTTATATCCATCTCAACCATCTACATCGATCACGGCGGCCAGCCGTCAAATATCAGATAATATAATAGTTTTCTAGGGAAGAGATTCAAGAGAGGGCGTGAGATCGAGAGAACGCGACAGGCGAGATAGCAGAGGGGCAGTGAGTAGAAGGAAGCTGATCGAGGGACAAGAGGTCCAAGGATAAGGACAGGGAGGGATGGATTCATGGAGTAGGAATTTTGCACCAGATTTGATACCCAAAAATGTCTTTCATAATTTGCAGGTAAATGTGCATAAGCCTCCTGACTAGGGCGCTCTCCTATTTATAAACACAGATTTACTGACAATGATTTATCACAGAAATCTATGTTAGGATATATACGTAACCCCTAATTATTTTAAATGCATATTCGTTACAAAATGACTCCTATGATGAGATATTGCTCGTACAGGCCATTTTCGTGGTCGGCAATTTTTGTGGCCGTTGCCGCGTCACAGCACACTTCACCACAAGTTGCCACCACGAGCAATTTTCGTGGTGAGAAATCAAACTGGTTTGATTCTCGGCAACTCGTGGTCGCCACTAAATTTCCGTGGTGAGTGGTCGTTGCCGGCCCCCGCACACTTGGCCATTTTTGTGGCGACCACGAAAATTGCCTGTACGAGCAACGAAAATGGTGAAGTGTGCTGCTAGCTTTACATGCAAAGACTTCTTGCTTTTTCTGAAAAAATCTACTGATGGAGGTTTATCATGTAAATCAAAACTATGATACCTCCTCTCCATTTTAAATGTATAATTTTCGCAAAATATGAGTTCTTTTGGGGTCCATTGCGCATGCGCGACAACCGTTTTAGGTGTGCAGTACGGAATGAAAAAATATGAGATAATAATTATAGCTTTCCGATAAAGAGAGGCGCGTGAGACTAAGAGAACGTGGCAAGGAAGATAGCTGAAGGGGTAGAAGAAGAAGGAGGCTGATCGAGGGGCAAGAGAATCAAGGAGAAGGACGGGGAAGGGATGAAGTAGGAATTTTGCACACTACAGACTAGGGCGCTCTCCCATTTATAAACATTAATCTACTGACAATGATTTATCACAGAAATCTATGTTAGAATACCCCTAATTATTTTAAATGCATATTCGTTACAAAATATGACTCCTATGATGAGATATTGCGCGTGCGCTAACACACTACCGTAGTCAGATTGTCTACTGACAGGTCTATGCAGGGGCCACCTTACATGCAAAGACTTCTTGCTCTACTGATGGGGGTTTATAATGTAAATCAAAGCTATGATACCTCCTCTCCATTTTAAATGTATAATTTTCGCAAAATATTAATTAGTTCTTTTTGAAGATATTGCGCATGCGCGACAACCGTTTCAGGCGTGCAGTACGGAAGGAAAAAACATTAGATAATATAGCTTTCCGATAAAATGAGGCACGTGAGACTAAGAGAACGTAGCAGGAGAGATAGCTGAGGGGGTAGAAGAAGAAGGAGGCTGATCGAGGAACAAGAGAGGCAAGGAGAAGGATAGGGAAGGGATGTAGTAGGAATTTTTCACCCTACAGGCTAGGGCGCTCTCCCATTTACAAACGCAGGTCTACTGTCAAAGGTTTATCACATAAATCTATGCTAGGATACGTCCTAATTATTTTAAATGCATATTAATTACAAAATATGACTCCTATGATGAGCTATTGCGCGTGCGCTAACACACTACTGTAGTCAGATTGTATACTGACTGGTATATGCAGCGGCCACCTTACATGCAAGGACTTCTTGCTTTCTCTTAAAAAAATCTACGGATGGGGGGTTATCATGTAAATCAAAGCTGGGATACCTCCTCTCCATTTTAAATGTATCATTTTTGCAAAATATTAGTTCTTTTGGGGGATATTGCGCATGCGCGACAACCGTTTCAGGCGTGCAGTACGGAATGAAAAAATATTAGATAATATAGCTTTCCGATAAAGAGAGGCGCGTGAGACTAAGAGAACGTGGCAAGGGAGATAGCTGAGGGGGTAGAAGAAGATATGTCTGGTAGTTTTTTCACCGGCACTACAAACTATCGTTTGGAAACTGTTAAAGCGCATGATGCTTCCGAGGGGCACAGAAAGATCCTAGCAAAAAGAAATGCAAGAACCATGCCTGTTCACGAAACAGTGGGGTCACAAGTGACCCAGAACTGACTTCAACTGAGATTGAAATGGTGTGTGGCGATCAAAAGAGGTGATGAAAGTGCACACGCACGCACACACGTGTACGTGCACACGCGCGCACACACACGGACGCACGCACGCACGTGTACGTGCACACGCACCCATGCACGTGCACACGCACGCACGCGCACACGTGTACGTGCCCACGCACGCACGTGTACGTGCACACGCACCCATGTGTACGTGCCCACGTACGCACGTACGTGTACATGCACACGCACGCAGGCACGTGTACCTGCACACGCACGTACACACGCACGCACGCACATGTACGTGCATACGCACGCACGCACGTGTACGTGCACACGCACGCACACACACACACGTGTACGTGCCTATGCACGCACGCACGTGTACGTGCACACGCACGCACACACGTGTACGTGCCCACGCACGCACGTGTACGTGCACACGCACGCCCGCACGTGTACGTGCACACGCACGCACGCACACACACACGTGTACGTGCCCACGCACGTACGTGCGCACGCACGCGCGCACGTGTACGTGCAAGCGTACGTGTACGTGCAGATCAGCTTTCCTCCCAGATGTCTTTGCACCTCTACTTTGCAACTCTGATTTCAATTCATTTACGGTTTTCCCTTCGTAACTAGACGCCATTGTTTAGCAGTGATACCGGAGAGTTGTTTAGCAGTGCAGGCGCGCCATCTATCCAGCAATTAGTAAATGGCGAACCCCATTAGAAATGCACATGCTATTGGAAAAAACAGCAGGCCCTACAGGCCTACACCGATTACGTCAAGCTGTGCCAGCTTGACAAGGCCAAGGGGTTAGATGTCGGCAGCACTTACCTCACCGACATTTGTGAACACTGCAGTGAGCGGGTTTGTTATTAATATTTTGATCAACATATCACAACAAATCAGAAATATTTACACATAATTCTTACAGATAATTATAGTGCTATCTTACTATAATTTGGCGAATGTTGTATGTATGTATGTTAATAAAAGGCTCCGTCAGTTTGGATCCAAATAGCGCCAAATTCACAGAAGAGATCGATGAATACACGGGACGGGTTCTAAATTATACTCGGTTGAAAACCGTAATGAAAAAATATTAGATAATATAGCTTTCCGATAAAGAGAGGCGCGTGAGACTAAGAGAACGTGGCAAGGGAGATAGCTGAGGGGGTAGAAGAAGCAGGAGGCTGATCGAGGGACAAGAGAATCAAGGAAAAGGACGGGGAAGGGATGAAGTAGGAATTTTGCACACTACAGGCTAGGGCTCTCTCCCATTTATAAACACAAATCTACTGCAAATGATTTATCACAAAAATCTATGCTAGGATACCCCCTAAGTATTTTAAATGCATATTCGTTACAAAATATGACTCATATGATGAGATATTGCGAGTGCGGTAACACACTACTCTCGTCAGATTATGTACTGACCTGTCTATATGCAGCGGCCACCTTACATTACCTACTTGCTTTCTCTTAAAAAATCTACTGATGGGGTTTATTATGTAAATCAAATCCAGGATACCTCCTCTCCATTTTAAATGTATAATTTTCGTAAAATATGAGTTCTTTTAGGTAATATTGCGCATGCGCGACAACCGTTTCAGGCGTGCAGTACGGAAGGAAAAAATATTAGATAATATAGCTTTCCGATAAAATGAGGCACGTGAGACTAAGAGAACGTAGCAGGAGAGATAGCTGAGGGGGTAGAAAAAGAAGGAGGCTGATCAAGGGACAAGAGAGGCAAGGAGAAGGACGGGGAAGGGATGTAGTAGGAATTTTGCACCCTACAGGCTAGGGCGCTCTCCCATTTATAAACGCAGGTCTACTGTTAATGGTTTATCACATAAATCTATGCTAGGATACGCCCTAATTATTTTAAATGCATATTCAATACAAAATATGACTCCTATGATGAGCTATTGCGCGTGCGCTAACACACTACTGTAGTCAGATTGTATACTGACTGGTCTATGCAGCGGCCACCTTACATGCAAGGACCTCCTGCTTTTTCTTTAAAAAAATCGTCTGAATCATAGGGGTTTATCGTATAAATCAAAGCTAGGATACCTCCTCTCCATTTTAAATGTATAATTTTCGCAAAATGCATCATGATATCTGTCCCCACACCATAGATTAATTTTTGTGGATCACAATGCCTATATATAGTGCGGCGAGACATATATATTTAGTGTGAGGGTTAGTGTTGGCGGTGTTGGAGTGAGGGTTACCGTTAGGGTTGGCATCGTCAACGTTATCACGTGACCTCCCTCCACGCCCGAGGGATAGCAACACCCTTTGTTCTTATACCTACTCCCGCCAGAGATATCTCGTGAAATCCTGCAGGAAATGT